TCTCTCCTCTCTGTCTCTGGCTCTGTCTCTCTCCTCTCTGTCTCTGTCTCCATCTCTGTCTCTCTCCTCTCTGGTTCTGTCTCTGTCTCTCTCCTGTCCTTGTCTCTCTTCTGTCCCTGTCTCTCTCCTGTCTCTGTCTCTCTCTCTCCTCACTGTCTCTCTCCTCTCTGTCTCTGGCTCTCTCCTCTCTGGTTCTGTCTCTGTCTCTCTCCTGTCCCTGTCTCTCTCCTGTCTCTGTCTCTCTCTCTCCTCTCTGTCTCTCTCCTCTCTCTCTCCTCTCTGTCTCTGTCTCCATCTCTGTCTCTCTCCTCTCTGGTTCTGTCTCTGTCTCTCTCCTGTCCCTGTCTCTCTCCTGTCCCTGTCTCTCTCCTGTCTCTGTCTCTCCTCTCTGTCTCTGTCCCTCTCATTTCCTCCCTATATCTCTCATGCTAAGGAATGTTTGCCACCCCGGAGATATTTTCTCACTTCAGCTGTACAGAGAACTTTTTGGTCCACATTCCGGTCTCTGATGTGACCGGGCCCCCCGTGACCTCAGGACTCAGCTTAGCCCTCACTGTGCCTGCAGGCTCCCCCAGGATGGGATAAGAACCCCACTGTCCACTGCGGCCCTGAGTGTCTCCTGCAGGGGGAGAGCCAGGGGCCACCCAAGAGGCAGAAGACAAAGAGCGTCCCAGGAGGAAAGTGCTGGAAAGCAAAGGCAGGGGACCAGAGGCCCTGGGGCCTCGGGGGGCGAGGGGGGCTCTGGGGCTCTGGCCTCAGTTTAGAAGAATGTTCCACATCCCACACGAGGCACGAGCTGCGTCCACTCCCCAGTTCAGGCCACGGGCAGCCGGCCCAGAGGTGGCCTCAAGACAAAGGACCCAGAGGCCATCCACAGCTCGCAGTGGGGACAAGGGGGTGATTCGGGGGGGTCGGTGTTCACTAGGGATAATGGTCCAGCCTGGCCTCGTGGGGAGCATCCTTTGCAACGTGAGGGGCTCTGGTCCTGTTGTATCTCTGACCCTCCCCCCAGGCAGTCCCCACAATGGCGAACAGCCACAAAGCCAGGCCCAGAGCCCCGGGGGGCCGGGCTCACCCAGAGGCCTCAGCCCCACCCCCTGGCCTCTTAGGAGCCTCAGGAAATTTCCACCTGACGGTCAGGGGGCCGCTCTGGATCCCAGCGTGTGCCCGGAGCCCTCCCCTCTGGACCCCGTCCTGAGGGGACGCCTTGGCCGTGGGCCTCCCGCTCAGCTGACTCTGTCGTCACCCC